TATGATTAAGTTTACTAAAGACACTCTCTCTTCTTTTGGTTGTCAGATATAATAGCAGAAGATATTCACATTTGTCAGGACATATTGCAGTTCTTTTATGTGCATAAGATAACAAAAACAAACATAGCACCATGTGGTTTCCATTAGAAAGTGATGACTTTTTAATGGAGCAAAATAAGGATGACTTGTACAGTACAGCTTCCTGTCACTTTTACAAGGATTCCCTGTACAGGAGACTGTTCTCAGGTACTGGCTGTTTGTAAATGTAAAACACAGTTACTTGAGTGTCTGTTTAAATTAAGCCCATATGCTGAGATATCAGCTCCCCAATGTCCAGAATATATGGCTACCTACTGACATTCCCAACACTGACAGACATTCCACATGTAATGTAGTTAAATTTAGATGTCCAGACTTGAATAGATGGTACATGGGCTGCAACCAAGTCAAAGATGTTACAGTATTACTTAATCCACTCTGTGATACAGGGACCCCAAAATAGCTCACGTTACCTGGACTCTCTTGATATACAGAAACTACTGTCCTGGAAATAGATGGTAGATACAACAAATATAATTTTGATTATACTAAAAACCAACATCTACATCATAAATATTCCTGATAACTTTTTTTCCGTCTGTCATATAAGGTCCTGAGTAGCAAGCAGGATAACTAACAAAGAGGTACAAAAATGCTGACTTCATCTTATGAAAGCTTGTCTCCATAAAAATGTTCTTTTCTGCATGCACAGGTTTTTAGGGAACACACACGAGGACAAAAAGCCCTAAGAAACTCAACAAAAAACACCAAGTTAATTTTGTCGTTCTACAGCTCCCTTAGATGTTTAGCCAGAAAATATTATTTCACTCCCAAATGAGGCTATAATTGTACCTAGTGTCAGCAAACCCAAATTGCAATGAGGGACCTAGAAGAACAAATGTAATCATATACAACAGGCAGAAGGTCCTCCAGTGCAACTGGCTGCATATGTCACTATGGGGAAAGATTCATACTCTTAACAAAGGAAGTGAATCTGATAGACTATATGACATAGCATAGCATTTAGGAAAAAAAAAATACTTGTCCAGCAAGCTTCAGTTACTTTTCAAGATATATTTATATCAGACGGAGCATGGATTTACAAGAAGTGATATGAAATATTTTTCTTGACATGAGGGTACCTACAATTAACCTGCATATAATGCACAACTACTATGATGCAACTACTGAGAAAACTCTTCTGACTCGTGTAAAATGCTCGAAATTCCAGAGTATAAATGCTGCAGATATACCATTTTCAAAGTAGTCATGAAAAGCTAGATATTCAGTGTACTAGGCCTTCTTTTTCCTTCTTTATTTTTTCCCCAAAAGAAATGTTGATCTTTTCATTACCCATCACTGTCATAAAAGTAATAGCGTATTCCTTGATATAAATATTGTGAGAAAATTTTTAAAACAACTGCTACATGTCTGTGTTTTATACATGCTATACATAGCCCACACAAGAGCAACTTGCTTATCCTACCTCACCTAGCTACAGCTTAAAATGCAAAGATGTGATGGAAACAGCTAAATAATGATCAGCAGTGATACATTTACTTACTTTTCTCCTTATTTTTACTTACCTGGCTAAAGAATAATGGGAAATTGAAAATGGAATCATTCAAGTTGCATTGAGAAGAGAGAAATAGCCTGAGAAGATATACTTGCAAGGATATTAACTGTTATGATAAAATGAAGATCTGCCTACCCAACAGCAGACACCTACTCAACTGCACAACCTCAGACACTATTAACTTCTGTTTGACTTAAGTTTGTACAGATTTTTGACAGTTGTCTCCCTAGCACCATCTGGTGTCTGCCAACTTGCAACTTGTGAGAATGCACCAAACAAAAAATTAATTCAGCTCATGGCCTCATGGGACAGAAAAATTTACAGCAGGCGTCTTCACAAAGGCTCAGAAGAGTATTAGGCAGGTCGGAATGAGCATACATTATGTTTATGATTTTCACCAACCTGAGTTGGGGAAACATTGAACAGACACATATTTGCCCATGTCTCATGTATTCCCTGTATTGGAATATGAAGGATGATAGGAACATGGATGTTCCTGTTAGCTGGATTTTATGTATGAAATATTTCCTTCTTCAATCGAAATTTTACTCAGAAGATATTCTAACTACATTTCAGCTAAATGCTGCTTTATTCACCTTCAGCTTACATGGCATATGAGAAAAATCATATAATATACACTTTTCCAATAACACACTGAAAAGATATTCAGTATAGCCTTAAGAACTGGAATACTAATTTTTTTTTTACAATGCGTAGTTGTCGACAGCAATATCAGGGCACAGCTGTGCAGAAAATGATTTAACCTCCATATGTTGCCACTGTGTATACTATACCGTAATTCATAAATATGAAGAGTGAAAGTATCATTATTCAATGTCCCTGAAGAAAATGAGAACCTATGTTTTTTTAGCATTCATCCGTTTTACAGAATGGTTTAATTTAAGTTTAATGTATGCATTATTTTGTCTTAGGGGAAAAAAAAGCAACCTTGAAATGGTGTAATAATCA